ATATCTTATAAATGTAACGAAGAATAGAAACTGATTACCGGGCTTTTTATTATTTGCTAGATTAGTTGAGACATCATCATTAATCCATCATTTCATGGTCAAATGATTGACAGAAGAATTTTTTGGCGATTTCTTTCTGGCTCTATGACGTTGTTCTTGATAATGAACATTTTTCCTTGACTATAATAATGGGAGCCGACAACGACGCAGAAAATAGCAAAATAAATTAAGTAGCTAGTTTTGGGATTCCCTTTTAGGCACATAAGAAACTTTCTACACAATACACATGTCCACGTTTTATGAGCAGACCTATGAGAAAAAATTTTCTTTTTGCATTTCTGTTTTTCTATTTCTCATTGTATAAAAATTGGCAGAATTTGCTTGTTTGGAGTTTCCATTCGACCCAAACTTCTTCTAAAATAATTTATTATTTGTAAAAAATTTTTAACAACATCCCACTCCCCTCCTTCTGCTTCACCCTAATGCAATGGAATATATCCTTATCGCTGCAACGCTTGGCAGTTCTCATTTTTTTCCAAGCAAAAATAAACGCTTTTAGCCAATCAGCGGTCTCGTTCGCCACTGGATAAATCAATCAGCAGCACTCGTGGTTGCAGTACATGTATGCCAACGTATATCTCTTCATCAAGGGAGAATAACTCAATCTTTCTAGAAAAAGAAAGTCATGCTTGACGGCGTCAGAAAATGATTGTGCTCTCTGTACACCTCTAAAGTCTCACGTGAGCTGCGTATCGTATAAAGCACTCTTCTCATGCGATCAGACAGAGGTGAAAGAGTGCGGAAAGCGTGGAGAGTGCGCACGCGTCATATCGCCAAGTGGGTGGAGGTTAGTAAAAATTTCCACTTCTATGCGGATTTTGCAACTACCCATAATTGCGCTTCTGCACGAAGGTCTTACTATACTTAATATTATGAGAATATTCAACATTACATTTGCTAAATTGCATTATTTTTTGATATCAAAAAACAAGCATGAAAGATTTGGTCAGCCTGAAGTATGCCTTCTCCGCTTAGCGTTGTTCCCATCCGGTTGATTTATTATTTACTGCCAAAAATTAGATCTTAAAAAAACAGCGAGCGCTAACTTATATTAACACTTGTATAGGCTACTAGACGTGAGGGCTTTTATACTGTCTCTGCGGTGCCGACACCACTTGCGCGTAAACAAATTGCCACGCTTGGCAGACATTTTGCGCTTGGACCACAAGCGCACATAACTTTAACTTGCGCGCTGATGCCAGGCGTTCACGCGCAACTGTTGTTTTGACCGCAAGTGCACCATATGAACCGTCATAACTACTGCTTTCATCTGCTGTGACATGGAAGCAATCGTCGAGTTTCGTCACTTGTATCTGGAAGCTTAGCTTACTGAACGCAGTCTGATCCCAAAAGCTGCAAGCAATCAATTTTTTTCAATTGTGATTGCAATTGAGTGGAAAAACGGTAGCTATGCGTGCCGCTACAAACTCCATTCGGGACTTCCCGATATGCAATCTGGGTTTGGAGGTTTAAGGTTTTCCTGCGGTTTCAACAGTATATGCGCGAAGACGGTTACCATGTTTGTGAAGCGCCGAGGATTTGCCGGTGACTTGTGCATAAAAATATCCCCAAGTTACGCGCAAATATTGTCGGCTACGCAGATCATGATCCATTTATACTATAGCATTTTTTTCGGTTCCATTCATGCGTCAATCCAAAGTTCTGTAATTGCACACTGCCTTGCAGACTAGAGAACTTCGCTGCCTCTTTCCTAAACGGCGGCACATCATCTCTAATCAGCAAGTTGCCTAATTCGGGCGACGTCGTCGCTTCGCGCGGGTCCAATCGGCCCGGTCTTCGTCATGAGACGAGCACACAAATATCGCCGCTCTCTGACATGAAATAGCCACGGCAAATTGCAGCGCTTCGTCGCCGGGGCATCAAACAATCGCCGTGCATTTTTTGGGCAGCCGTGTCCAAAGAGATTTATCATATGTACGGTGACATCTACTAAACTATGCACTTTATACGGGCATAGGAGCTTGCATAGTGTTTGGCTTGAATGAAAGCGCAGAGACATTTTTTGTCAAGCTTTATAGCTGTCTTCTCAATTCATTTTTATGAGCGTAGTGACTAACTGCACGTAACCTTTCAAAAACTTTTCTAGCGTAACAAAGTGTAGAAATGTGTACCACTAATCAAAACATAACCAATAAAATCAATAGAGGCAAGGAAACAAGAAGAAATCATTGGAAATGAGCAAGTTCTAATCTTACAAGTCGTCAAGTAGCGCGCATGGTGTGCACTCACACAACAAAATTCAAATGAGTCGATAGTACTTATTTTGCATGGCGTTGTATAGAAGATAGAAAAGTTTACCTTGCGAAGGTCCCTCTTCCATCTCACCCAATTTCCCTATCGCACTTTATGGGTCCCGGTTGAATTGGTTAACTAAGCCATGGTAACTTCCATCTTCCAATGACCGCGTTCGAATAAGAGTATCACGCCAAAGCTTTTCTCTTTCAAGACTGAGGCGACATTGTCCTTCCAGGAGGGGCAAAATGATCTGATTAGTTGTGCCTTATTGTCCATCTGTTTATTAGTTTGGTCAAATATTCCTGCGCACTTTTGAAGAAAACCGTACCTTCTTTGTGTCTATAAAACGCATGATTTCTGCATTCAAAAAAATGTACTTTAGAGGACTTTCATCAGAATGCAAAAAAGTCATAGTTTTTCGAAAAAAAGGATGTGAACGAACTGTTCGTTTGTATCACAAGTACACAAAAATTCAGAGAAAATAAATCATTAGAGGAAATTCAGTGTCCGTTAAAATTGTGCTTTACTTCGAATTTTTTTTATTGTTTGGAAGCTTTGGACAGGTGCTTACATAACGTGTAGAAATCAAAATCTCGCAACATTCGAAAAACAAATAATTCCATGCTTACATATTCAAAATGACTCCCACCATTTCATAATAGTAAAAGCAGTTTCGTTCTTTTCGCATGACTTAGTCTAATCGCTTTTCAATGCATTCATGGAGTTGCAGCGCCATTCACATCAAAGTAACGAGAAATTTTATCAAGCTTCCAAATTCGTCCCTCTTCGTTTGATTGAAAGTTGAAATCAAGTAGAAAGAGTATGGGGAAGATTAACGTCAAATTCATTTTTCAATCCCTTCTTCTTCATGGAGAAGAAGATGCGATATAATTCTGTAAGAATAGAGAGTTAACAAAGCATATTAAACTCATATTTGAATTTTTTCTTGATTTTTGGACCATTTTCAATTTAGCAGAGATAGAAATGCTGCCAGCTAGCATAAACACAATAACAATAAATTACTCATGCAAATGAACGAGAAAATTCCTTGATGGGAAACGCTTTAACGCTTCTGAACAAAGGCATTTTCTCAGACGTTTTTTTAGTAGTGGAAGAATGTTATTCGGAAATTCTGCAGCGTAATAAGCTACTACAGATGCAGAAGAGTCCAATCAGCCATTCAAAAACTGCCAGAATTCACTTATCGGCGGAGAATTGAAAAAACTTTACAAACCATCTTTCTTATAGATTTTTACTCTCAGAGTGTGGGGGTAGTTCTTGGAATAACATAGAAGATTAATGAAGCTTTGTTGCACTGTATTTTAATCGGAATAGGGGTTATGAAGTTTTTTTTTATAAAATGGATGACTGCTAGAATGAGGGATTTACATATACAATACGAGATAGAACAAAAAAAATATTCGAGAAAATTTATTTTTCGTTTCATAATCGTAAATTTGACTTTATATTCTTTCTTTGAGAATTTCTTCCCAAATTGCACTTTTTTGTTTTTTGGTCTCTACAAATGCAGGAAGGTCCCAGAAAGCCCGGTTTTATTTTGTTTCTGGTTTTACGACCTATATGACTGTTAGAAATTTATAACGTCTAGATGTTTCTACTTGTAATTATGATTTTCGTCTTTTTCTAACTCAACATTCTGATTTTATTTTGAATAAAATTCCAATTATAGTTAGTTAGATAGAGCAATTAATATAGGTTTCTGGTGCAGAACTTATCGGATCACCCCGATATTACAGTAGTGAACAAGATTATTACTGAAGCAAATTATGAATTGTGCTTGATAGAGGGAAGGGACTTGGATAAACAAAGTCAAAAAATGTAATCGGGAAGCATTAAAGTCCTATAACTGCCTTATCAATGAGTTATTAGAAATAAATCAGCCGTAAAATTACCTTACAACAACGTTACAACTAAGCAAAAATCATTCTGGAGCACAATCGACAGCCATTTGCAATTCAGCTCCAATCTTGCACAGAAAAGCCTGGGAGTATCTCACATCTACTGAAAAGTCAAACTCGTTCCAAATTATAAGCGAGTTTTTCCTGAGGTCCCGTGCGAATCATCAATCGCTTCGGCAGCAGTCAATGCTGAGAGTTTATGAAAAAACGCCAAGTGCTTAGCAAATGGTTTTTCTAAGGGAATTTTTGTCGGGATAAATTCTGCACAATTCGTTTTAGGCGATAGATTACGCTTCGACGGCAAAAAGAAGCAATTGCCTTAATGTTTATGAATTTCTCAGCGATTGACAGCGAAAACCACAGATTAGACTTTAAAAAAGATGGGAATGCGAAAGCAAAAACTCCAGCAATGAAACAGGAGAGATTTGCAGGAATCATTTGATGGTTGCTGTCAAGTATGAACCCTGTGATAATGCAAGCCAGTCAAATAACGAGAATCAGAGATTAAATCGACTGGTTTTTGCACTTTAAGTTCTAGTTAGAAGGATTCGAAGTCGAAGAAGTATGTAGAGTCGTGCGGAGCTGTAAGAGGCAGAGAGAGATGAATTCTGAGAAATTTAGGTAAAAACTTGATGATTCTGATTTGCTTGGCCATAGGGATATTACACTTCAAACTTTGGCTCAAATGGACTATGCACGTCGCTGAAAAGCTATAGGCGGTGCGACAGGTGCAAAGCGGTCCCAAACGGATTAACGCAAGCTCACCTGTGTCATCTGGAGCAGCCGGATCGTGAACGTTAGCCAAAATGAACGAGAAAAGCTTCGTGAATTGTGACGTCATCGCCGCGACATCTTGGCGATGACGCGCGCCGCTGACGACTACGGTAGCGGTACGGTACCCGCCGCGGAGGAGTAAGTGATTGTCTGTCTGTGTGGGACCGACTGGACGCGTGGAGTCACGCAGGTGTGTCTACACGGGAAGTGTGAGCCGACGGCGACAAAAAGGTGTGGGAAAGCGCACAAAAGGCGAAAACGCGATGGGGCGTGGCCACATGTGGGGCGCGAAGAGGTGGTGCGTAGCGCGCGCGACGCCGTATGCGTCCCCCGCGGCCAGAGCGGCAGAGCCCCTCGCGGCTCTACGACGACGGCGGCGGCGGAGGCGTCGAGCCGAATAAAACGAATCAGGGAAACGGGATGAGTGAGTCTGACTAGATGTGCATCGGGGCTAGATGAGCCACACACACGGTTGACTAGTTTGATAGGCTGCTCTTCACTCGTGCCACGACAAAGTTGAACATTTAACGAGCTTTACTGAGTACTCGGCGCAGCAATGTGCGCCTGTTTTGGAAATGGCAAATTGACTAGCAAATGACAGAATGACAGTAAAAAACCCAGACACAGGTATTATATTGTGACTATTAGACTCAATATTGCTCTTATATAATACATAGAAACTAGAGGAACTATATACCGATATTCATACTCCAGCAAGCAAAAAAGTCACAGATGCTTATTTCAGTCCCTGACATTGTCCAGCAAGCTGAATTCCTACCTCTTCTTCATAATATTAGTTCATTAAAAAAGTCCGATAAACTGGGTTTGTACTAACTTAAGGGAATTGTTCTTGTTTTGGTCCTTTTATCACTAATAACTTCGGTAGATCATCTTGACGGTGCAAAAGGGTTAGAAAAGTAGAAAACGTGCTTGCACTCTTTTCTTAGAACAGGGCATCAAAAAACCTGGCCTAAAAAAGTCAACTTTGAAAAACAATATTGTGCCAAGGTTCAATATATGGAATAGGGTAGGTAACATACATATCTTAGGAAAATCGCTTTATAATTTTAGTAGAATAAACAAGAACGGATCTTGTAGTAAAGCTTTGGGGTCAATAAAAACCTATAGACATTAAATCAACATAAAGTAGTCACTACAATACTTTTTATGGACCAGAAAGTCTATCAATTTAGATTATCGCATTGTGACTGTTCACAGCTGATATTGGTTAGTCATTTTTTTTGCTTACCTTTAGCTCTATGGGAACAATGATTTGCAGTTCGATAATTCGATAGTTTTCGACTTTCCGGGTGAGAAAATGCCTAAATGTCAACTTGGACATATAAGGAAATTTCAAATATTTTCTGCTGCAATAGGGTTGAGAAATTTTATAACACAATGGTCTGGAGATGCTTTCCAGTTCATTTTCTCTTTTTTTTATAAATGGTCAAAAGAGTTCAAAAGAGGAGCATCTACCAGAACGTTGCAAATATTTCAAAATTATATTCATGGGCTCTGCACCATTATGAAGACTTGTTGTTCTTGGATTCCAATGGTGTAAACTTTTCACCAAAACTTTATAAAGGTGAAGTTCCTTCCATCTCAATTATTTTTAATACCATAATTAGCTAATAGATGCTCTAGGTAAAACGGATTTTTAATCTAGGAATTTTGATGCTCTGGGTTGAGCAGATCTTTTCCAACACTTAGATCTCAAAAAGAAAGCTCATTACTTTTTCAACCTAAAAATTTGAATTTTTTCTCGTAGCAATCCCAATCCGGCGATCGCAGTCACTAAAAGCAGACAACAATCAGTCAGAACTTCGTGCACACTATAAGCTAATCGAATCAATTTGCGGCCTCATATAACGGGGGTTGATGACACCAGCGGGGGGGGGGCTGCCCCCAGACACCCCTCCAACACCCGCGCACATATGGGGGCCCGAAGCGCTAATGCGTATAGTGAAGCTCTATGGGGCCAGTAACGCACTTATATGGCGAGCGATGGCTTCCGCTCTCGTCTTCGCCGCCGTCGATGTACTCTTCCCGCTCCCCTTCCGAAGCCGCTTTTCTACGACATTTTCTAGGGCTTAGGGCATATGAGGCGTTTCAGAAATATAGCAGTAAATTATCTACATTGTTGTGAGTTTTTTTTGGCAAATAATGAAGGTATATTCATTAAGGCTACGAGAATAAGTGTAATCATTTCATGTAGCAGAAGAAGCCTCCACAAATGCTAGAGTTCATTAGCATAACGGTTTGTGCTATTGTTCAGGAACAAGCAGCTATTAGACAATGAGAAATTGAATGGGAAGCGGTACAGCAATAAGGCAGTGGTCAAAGATGAAAATCCGAAATGTAAAAAAAAGAACGATTGCAGTAAAATTTTTGAGTGAGAGCTGCAATCATTGCTTTGTAATTCTTAAGAACAGAATAAATACAGCTCAAAAGATTTGTCAGTCCAAGATAACGGGCCACATACTGATATGGCAAGTGTTTTCAAATCAACTCGAAACAGGTGGAACTGGCTTCGAAAATATCTATTTAAAAATCTGCAAGAGGTGATAGCTAATTTTGCTTTGGCTAAAGAAGGTAGGCAGTTTTCACGAATGAACTATAAATAACTTGCAAATAAAATAAGAGTATAAATACTAAAGTATAAATAAATACAGTATAAATACAGCATAAATATTCGAAAAAAAGTTAAAATGTTTTCAAAGTTTCTAAGGTTCTATTTCAAGTTTCTGACTTTAATTCAACTAGATTTTCTAATTTACTAATTTTCTAATTTGATTCTAATTTAAGTTTCAATTTTTAAAGTTTCTCACTAAACAAATGGTCTTCGGCATCATGTCTAAACATATGTAACTATCTAGAAGTTGTTTCCAAATTCGAAACAAGTTTTTTGTTTAGTGCTTTCTTCAGTGGAATGAAATTGAGCTTTAACATCTTGCACCGAATCTTGGCCTAACATGAGCAAATAATTTTCCAAAATCTTTTTACGGCTACAACAGCTTTGGCCCACAGGAACCTCTTCGGATAACAGTTATGGTTAGATAAAACCATTTGTTTGTTTTTTTTTGCTTTAGGCAGCAGCCCAGGTTGGCTCAAAATTTTACAAAAATATGAATTCCAATGAACTAGGTGCAAAGCTCATCAATTCCCAGGAACAAAAACAGATCTTCGTTATCAACAATTTAAAAATACAGTTCTTTAACTTTGTCCTTGACGTCAGGCTATTTGTGATAAAAATCCAATCTTATCCCCTTTTTTTCAAGGCTGTAAAATGTCATCAACAACTATACTTGCGTAACTGCTGCGGCAATTACCTGATACGAGCAAGGCAATCTGGGGAAGTTGGGAAAGATTACTGACTATTTAGTTATGCGCTAAACTATTGTCGTTTATCGACAATTAGAGTGTTTAGTTCGCAGCAAACACGGATGGCTCTTGATCCTTCTGGATACCGTAAACCCGGCAATTATTGCATAGATGCAGCTAAGACGGGGGACCTTAGAAAGAGAAGGTGTTTGTTATGGAATTGGCTTCGACATTAGCTAGAACACCTGCACGATTGACTAATATCAATAACTTATTATGAACTCATTATATGCAACGAGACCCGCTGAAGTCAACAGCTCAAAAAGAACGGAGAAAATCTTGGGATGGACTCTGCTCTGGAATTTGAAACCTCTCATTGTCAGTAAAAACTCATGGGATGATGATTTGACATCAGCCTTGTCAGTTGGATTATTTTATCTACAACTACAGGTTGGTCTATAAATCTCGCACCCAACATAAAAAAAATTGTGCCGAAGTGTCTAAGCAGACATTTTGATTCATATGCATACTCTCACTTATAAACTGAATGTTATATTTTGTAAACATTTCTGGGGCCATTTAGGATTTTTAACGACCAAAGAAAAAACGCAATTTCTCTTCTAAGAATTGTGTAGCCACGACAAGTCAGACAAAGTATTTGCGTTGCTTCTAGAAAATCGAAAAAGAAACAATTCTGAGTAGATAATAATTTTCAGAAACTTTTGTGGAAGATGTGTGGACCAATTTTATACACAAGAATAATCTTCACTCTCATAACATTTTTGAAGTTTATCGCATCAAGCAAACCAGGGTTGTCTCTACACTTTCATAGCTTCTTGGACAGTTTTCATCAAAAGCAGTTTTGCACACTAGATTTTCGTAAATTCTATGAAGAATTCTCATTTCCGCATTTCCTTGTAAGTGCGGAATTCTATAAGCTTGACCAAATTTGATTTTAAAAAGCCAGCCATAAAAGCCTGTAATTTTTTATTACTTATATCGCATTTTAGTTTTTGTCTCCCGGAAGTGAAAACCCTCTAAAGGAAAACTAAGTTGAGCTTGTTCAGCACTTTCTTAAGGGAACTTTCATAGAATAGCACTGCAAAAACATAGCTCAAATGCTCTTCTGATTTAATATGAATGGCCAATCAGTTCTAATTTTGAAGCAAGTTGAAATTTTGAATGCCCATAGATGTGTAACCTAAGTGCGTACGTTATTTTATCAACTTAATACGTAATTCCTGCACTAAATTTACTAAATTACTAAATTATTGTAGCCTTTTTCAACTCTGATGCGCTCTTTTAAAGAGCAGTGCATTGAATTTTTTGATGATGTGGCGGAGATACAAGCTGTAAGAAAAACAGAAAGTGCATTTCTGAATTTTGTTCGCTAATGCTGAAACGCTCACTTCCAAAAGCTTAATTTTTTTCTAACTGAAAGGAATTTATGGTGATGGAAAGTAGGTACGTTACGATAATCTTCGATTGTTTTTTTGTTTGACTTCTTAATTTCGTTTCCAATTTCTCAAATGATATTATAAATTTGAACACACCCAATAAGCTTGTTCTATAAATAAACACTTTGTTCAAGCGTTTTTGATGAATTTTTTTGAATTTTAGTGTAGGATTCACGCGCCTGCCTATTGAAATAGTCATCCCACTGAAGCTTGACTTCGTGAAGTTCATTCTTCAAAACTGCTAAAAGATGCTTTAGAGATTCAACTAGAGATTATACTTAAGGTTTCAGTTTATGTTGACCACTTTACCACGTCTGTTTGCACTTCTATCCGTTTATGTTGATGTACTTGACTGACTGAAATTTTGTAGCGATTTTATTGCACTTTCGCACAATTTTTCGTAAGAGCGTTATTAGTTCGCCATCAAAATATGTATTAAATGGAAGGAGATTTTGTACTACGAAAAACTAAAAGT